TGTCTCCCGCGGAGAAACCAGCACCAGGGTCCCCTTTGTGTCCCCCCCAGGCCCACCCCATGGCTCCTTCCTAGTCCTTGCCAGCCCCGAGGGTCCCTCCATGTGCCCCGTAGCCCCATGGCTCCCTCCTTGTCCCCCCGCAGCCCCGTGGCTCCCTCCTGTCGTTGTCGTTGTCCTCCAGGCCCAGCACTACCCCCGGCTTTGTGCCCCCCCACTCCGCAGGGGCTCCCAGCCGTAAGGGACCCTTTGCACTCCCCAGCGGGGATCCCCAGGGTGGGTGTGAGGGGCCTGTCCCAGCACCGCGGGGGTGATCCCAGCCCCGTGGCCCCCGCAGTACTCGGGAAGGTTTTGGGGTGAGGGCACAGGGACACGCAGGGGCCTGTCCTGAGCCTGGGGGTGTGTGAGGGGGACAGGGACCCGCAGGGACCTGCCCTCAGTCCCCATCCCCAGGAGACCGGTCTGGAGAAGCATCTCGCAGAAAATAAATCCTGTGTCCGTGCCAGAAAGCCGGGTGGGCACAGGGCCACGGCCAGCCACAGCGTCCCCGTGTCCCCCACCTCCACGGCTTCCCGTGCGCTGGCCATCCCTCGGCCCTGTCCTGTCCGCAGAGCCGGGGGCTGTGCTGGTGACAGCTGGGGTTGAGCACACGTGGGGTGACACCGGCTTCGCCCCTGTCCTCCCGCAGCTTGCAGTGACCTGGAGGCCAGCCGCTGCTCAGGGGGGTATCAGCGTCCTGCCAGCGAGAGCAAGAAATACCCTCACCTGCGTTAGGTGTTTTAAGCCCTTACCCTCCTGGAGATGCGTTATCCAACGCTGTTTCTCTCTCATTAAATGCTTTTGTCGTTACGGAGTATAAAATCTTTCCTTTCATGGATAAGAAAGAATTGTGGTTTATAGAATCCCAGAATCATCTCGGTTGCAAAAGACCTTTTAGCTCCTCCAGTCCAACCATTAACCTCACACTCACAGTTCCCTCAGCGCTGGGTCAACCCAAATGTCTTTTTGTGCCGGGAGGTGAGTAGGATCTATCTCTGCACCCTCTCCATTCCCGTGGTGGTTTGTCTCTTCTGCTCAGATTTTTGACCCGCCGGAGGAACTGGAGAGGAAGGTGCGGGAGCTGGCAGACCTGATCAGGAGCTCCTCCAATGTGGTGTTTCACACGGGGGCTGGAATCAGCACCGCCTCAGGGATTCCCGACTTCAGGTAAGGGCGGTGGGCAGCTGGCGAGGGGTTGGGAGGATGGCACCTCTGCTGAGTCCATCTCACGTCTTGTGAAGCTCCGGACTGTGTTTCCTGCTACCCCAGCCAGACCTCCATCCCTCTTGTCTGGTTCTGGATCCAGCTGAAAATACCCTTTCCCTCTCACACACCCATTTGATGTTAAGCCACAGAAGCCCTATGTGTGCTCTTCTTGCATCAACAACAAAAACCACTGGTGATCCACAACCTTTGTTTATCCTCCTTGCTCATCCTCCATTAATAGGGCTTTTGGTACATTTACAACTGTCACCTTCAAGCCTGAACTCTCAATTCTCACTCTTTCTGTCCCCATCGCTGCAGGGGGCCCAATGGTGTCTGGACTATGGAAGAGAAGGGCCTCTCCCCAAAATTCGACACCACCTTTGAGAATGCCAGGCCCTCCAAGACTCACATGGCACTGCTGGGGCTGCAGAGAGTGGGCATCCTGAAATTCCTGGTCAGCCAGAACGTGGACGGCCTTCACGTGCGTTCAGGATTCCCACGGTACTGCCTCTCCCGCCCTGTCTCCGGGTCCCTCCTGCCTTTCACAGCCGCTGCCACGTGGCTGTTTTTGCTGCACCATTAGTGTGGCCTCGTGTGCAAGTGTTTGATGCTGGGGATTGATTTCCACGGCTGGCTGGGCAGCTGTCTGCCATGTCTGATACAGGGAGCAGAAACAGGGAAGTGCTGGTGTGGGAAGGGGTGCATAAACCAGCGTGAACTTAGAGAGAATAGGTTATGGTAATAATTCAGGGGGTGATGAAATGAAGTCAGTCTCAGTTGATCCTCTCTAGAAGTACACCAGAAACTGTTTGTTCACAAGAAGAATGATCAGGTCGCAGTGTTGGGCTGTTGCATGTCACCACCCATCAGCTGAGCGGCTGTAGCTGTTGGTGCGGCTGTGAGCAGCCCGGCTGCGTGGCTGCCTGGGGGCTCGTGGCCTGGGGAGTCAGGTGTCGGCTTCAAGTAGGGCATATGCTCCTGGGAACTGGGCTCAGAGCCACGCTCAGGGCACATGGTCCTTTCCACTGCCTCTGTGCCCGACCAGCGGGGTGAACGGACAGAGAGAGGACGGGAGCATCTGAAACTGCTCCTGCAGAGATGCGAGTCGCCCTGTTTTACCACTGTGGCTAGAGCTGTCTCAGAGCACTGGATCTTGTGCCTATTTTAGTTTGCGTAAATTGAATTTCTTGTGAGAAAATAAAGGCGGCGCTGCCCCAGTGCTGAAAGCATGCCTGGGCCCAAGATAGCCTTAAAAAGTGCTTTGCCTCTCCACAAATTTGCAAAACTGCAAGCGTGGCAAGACAGAGAGTCCCGTGGTTGGAAGTGCCCTGACTTACTGCTGTGGTCTCTGATTTCCTCGCCCGCTGCAATGAGGTCAGGGATCCGCGTGGCCACGTTCCTGCTGTGGGGAGCTGCGGCCTGTGGGAGCCGAGGGTACCAGCTCTGTGCTCCCTGCCTGGGTGGGGACTGAGGTGCTTTTAGCAGAGCAGTGGCCGTTTCAAAGATGTCCTCAGAGGAACCTGCCTTTCCATTAGCACTTGCCGCAACGGTCCTTCAAGAAACTTCAGCCTGTTAGAAAACCCATTTCCAGCACTTAAGACCAGTGAGCAATTGTCTTGAGAGGGAAACTGCTTGGAGCTGCCTGGAAAGGAAAGGGGAGAGCAGCTGAATTGAAGTAAGAAAATAAAATGGAGTTAGGATGAGAACGAGGAGCACGGATGGGACCTCAGAGAAGATGAATCTCACAGATACCTTCAGCCAGCGCTGGCTGAGCCGAGAGCTGCCTCCAGGGGGTATTTCCTATTATTAAAAGCCCTGAGTTCTGATTCCTGCTTCTAGCACATTTGCCTTTTTAAACTAAAAAACCGTGGGAGAAAGATTAAAAAATAACGACCAGAACTCAGCTGTGCTCCTTACAGCCCAGTGCCATGGGCTCCCACTCTGGTTTAGCACAGCTCTTCTGCCCAAGCATGTGCTTAAGTAAGCTCTGCTGAACTGGGGCCAAAATGGGGGAAAATCAAGTCAGTCCTGTCTCCCTCCACTCTGGAGGTGGTTCCCAGTCACCATGGGGCTTGTGCCACAGGGAGAGCGTGGCCTTGTTTTCCTTTAGCTTCAGCACTTTGAGGCTCACGCTGAGCTCAAGGGGAGTTTTGAGTCAAAACAAGTGGCAAAGGTTGGAACCGTGCAAGGACGGAGAGGAACACTGAGTGCTGAGAAAAGCAAAGATCCCGCTTACTGCTGGGTGCAGAGATTTGAGGCTGAATCAGAAACGGGGCTGGAATCGCTGCTGCAGATGGAAGCATTTAAAAATTTAGAAGCCAGGACGTGCTGTCCCTCCCCTTAGTCCCAACCCTGGTGGCCGTAGCGAAGCGCTTTCGCGATGGAGAGGAAGCCGTGGCGCAGGCGGCCTCTTGCCAGGTCTGAACATGTCCTCTGGGTCTCCCCTGCCCTGCCAGAGGGGCAGCTCTGCCCAGACTCCTTTGAACAGAATTTCTTGTGTTAAATGCACAAAGCAGTGCTCAGTGTGCCATAGTTTTGCCATCCCCTGCTTGCCCTCCGTGTGGTGGCCATGCTCGGCACAGGGAAAGCCCCTACACTCGGTGGCTGGGCCAGCTGCCCCCCTGCACCCCGTGCCCCCAGAGCCTGCCTGACACTGGTGCCTTGCTCTGATGTAGTAGTTACAGACTGCAGTTCCCATGTGCCTGTCCCCAGGCCATGGCAGAGGGTCCCTGCCACCCCACATCACCTGGCAAGTCCGATCTGGTGGAGCTGGGGAGTGGGGAAGCCCTTGAGGTGCCCCTGGTGAGGAGGGGGTTCAGGCACTTTCCCTCTTGCCCCCAGGGCTCTCCACCCTTCCCCAGCTCACCTCTGCCGTTTCTCCCGCAGGGACAAGTTGGCTGAGCTCCACGGGAACATGTTTGTGGAAGAGTGTGTGAAATGCGGCAAGTACGTGAGCCCCGAGCCTGGGGAGGGGGGGGGCATTG